TGAGAGCCCTAAAAGTCCATTTAGCATGCTGCAAAGCTGAACCATGTTTAGATCAGAGCTTGTTGCCTCTGATGAATATCCAATTGGCACAGACACTGCAAGTTAACTAAAGGAAGAGAGCCTTACTTTTCAATAATCTCTTCTGTGCTGATGCTCTGAAATTTGCCAAGAGGTTTTTTTTGTTGAAGAGAAAGGGGTTTCTTTGTAGTACACAGGAAACTGGGAGAACCGCCTCTTGGCCATGAACTTATTGGTGTTAGATGCTTGGCAATTCAGTATTTCACAAAAGATATCATGAGATGCTGTTGATTTAAACTTGCAGCTCGGCGAAGCTGATTTTTCAGGGTGCTTGTGTTTCTAGGGAAACAGCTACTGTAAAAGTAATTAGAAATGGAGGGCAGCACAACTTCCTCAGAACAAGGTCTCCGCACTCATTCCCTGACAGTGATTGAAACATTGGAGGAAGGAGATAGCAAGATGAAAGCAGTAGGGTGATGACCCTTATTAGAGCATCTTCCTCCCTTTTCCCCCCAGCAAGGAGCATGAATCCTTCTCTCTAGGGTAGGACACACAAGCTCACACTGGGGGTTGTTTATTTATGTTAGTATTTGGAAATAAGATGGTGATTAAAATGCAGTTAGCGGGTGCAAGATATTTCAGGAGAACAAATTAAAGAACAAGTTGTTTTGAAGTATTGTTATACTCCTGTTTATCACTGCTTGTGACAGCTTCAGTCTCTCGTACACATCTGGTAGAGTAAGAGGCAGTTTGTTTTTGTGCTTTACGGGAAGAATTTACTTTGGGTTGTTTTGGTTAATGTAGTTAAATGGTGTAAAAAAGCAGCAGGAATCCAACCAGTGTAAAGTACTCACATTTAAAAGAAATGTAGCAGTAAAATATAAAACTGTGCAAATGCTCATAGTAGTATAAAACTTCAAACTATTATTGAATGTTGTAGTCAAAGTGCCTTTCTAGCTTTGTATGCATGTCATTACTACAAACCATAGATCCTAAAATCAACCAGACTCGGCAAAGGTGGAAAGATGCTCAAAATCATGAAGTATCTTGACAGATTAAACAGAATGAACTATTAAGAGTCAAGAACCAGAGGTTACTGATTTGAGGTGAATGAGATAAAGAATCAAAGATGACATGAGGGAAAATTAATCTGCATGTGGTTAGAATAAGGAATATGCTGTCTGAGATGGTGACAGATGAAGATTCAATCATGGCTTTAAAAACAGAATCGGATAATTACCTGAAGAGAATAAAAAAATTGTGCGCTATGGAGAAATATCAGTGAAGTGGATCCAGCTGAGTTGCTCTTGCACAGACCCAGAACAGGCACAACAGGCTGAATGGCCTCCATCAGTGCTGCAAATATTCTATGAATTGATTACAAACTGTATTATGTGTTTATTTTTATAATGCAACCTCACTATTGCAAATACTTGGAATTGCTTATGATTGAACCTTGCTATAACAACACTTATTACCTGGAGTTCTATGCAATAAACATGTACAGAACCTTAATTAGACCACACGTAATTCTAGTATCTGCATTATCAAAAGGATATAGATAACTGGAGAAGGTAAAAATAAGATTATAAGAAATAATGAACTTCACAAGGATGATGCCAAAACATAGAGGAAAGTAACATGTTTTGTAAAAGGCTGAACAGATGGAGTCCCTTTGTTTCTGCAGAAGAGGTTGAGAAGTCCCCTGATTGAGGTTTATGTCTATGAATGTGTTTGATGAGGTAGACGTAGAAAAAAGAATGGTTCCTCTTTCATAGGGAGTCCAAATCCAGAGGACAAAAATATCAATATGATCATTACTGAAATCCGATCGGGAATTTTGGAGAAATGTCTTTCCCTTACAAGAGATAACAACATAGAATCATCCACTGCAAGGATCAGTTAAGCAGGTGAGAAGCTGAATTTAAAGGAAACCAGATAAATTTATGAAGGTGAAAGGAGCAGAAGGATATCCTGACATGCATGGATAAAGCCGGGGTGGAGGAGGGTTATGATGAGCATACCTGCTCAGAGAGGTTAGTTGGACTGAATGACCTGTTTCTGTGCTTGAACCTCTGTCTGCATTTGATATGACTGTTCTTCAGAGAGTTAACATTCTGAGTCTGACTGACTGGTATGACTTCTTCAGTGTTCTGAAGAAGAATCATACTTGACCTGAAACACTAATTCTCATTCTCTCTCCACAGATGCTGCCAAACTGGCTGAGTTTCTTGAGCATTCTCTGTGTTTGTTTCAGATTTCCAGCATAGCATTTTGTTTTTATCTATGTGTTACTTCACTGATCCGAATAAAAACTGCAGCATCCCCATCTCAATCCACTTGACCTTGCTGACTTCTACATTTCTCGGGCCATATTTCATCTCCTGTTTGTTGTTTAAAATAAAAGTAGATGCATTTACTCTAAATATTGTGAATTGGGCAGTTTTGCCAGCAATAGTGGTGTGTGCTGTATTCTGATATAAACCACAGAGATCTCTTCACTGCTTGTGTGTTTCTAGTGTTGTGTGCAGTTGCATGTGGAAATGATTATCACATAATGTAGTGTAATAAACACTATTCTTATCCTGTGGCTTCTCAAGCACTACAGTTAAAGATCCGTGAGAGACGAAAGTGTTTGGGTGGTGCAGGGGCCACCTATGCTGAAGTATCTACTTCGGTTGGTGGTGTACAGTTACGAATTAGACTGAAACCATTTTATATTTTACAGTCAACTTCTCTATTTCCTTTGACCTTTCAGGAGTGTATGTGGAGGAATGCCATTAGTGGAAAGGTCATCATGTGTTTCCCCACACAATGTTTGATCATTCATCAACATTATAGAAAGAAATACTAATATTTTCTATCCATTTTACAAAATACAATAAATCGACTTCTGGGGTAAGAAACTTCAATAGACAGATTTGTTTATTTATGTAACTGAATGGAATAAAATTACTACCTATTTGTGGTTCAGTTACCCAATGTTTAGCTCATAATGAGCGGTTGAATGGAACTGTCTAATCAATTGGGACTGCTGCATCCAAGTCATAATGTACTTGATCTAAGTACGGTCTTATTACTTTTTCAATGCAGAATTATGCTGAAAATTGGTTTAGAATTAAATTTAATCTACAATCAGGTAACAGATTTCAGTCTGGACTCATAACATTAACTATGTTTTCTCTCCACAGAAGCTGCTTGATCTGCTGTGTTTCACCAGCATTTTCTGTTTTTGTAATACATTTACATTCCTCCTCGTACACTGATCTAATACCTGGCTCTGATTTACATTTATCTCGTCTTTATATTTCTTTACTTTATATTTCTTACAACTTTTAATATTGCAAACACAAAGAAACAAAAATTAGCCTTCATACTATGACCCTGCGATATTCTAGAGCACATTTGCAGTTAATCAATTACTTTTGAAGTGTAAATAATGTTGTCATGGAGGAAATGCAGCAGCTAATTTGCACGGGACAATGTTCTCCAAGCCGTAATAAAAGAATGACCAACATCATTCCTTGATATTCAGAAAGGAATAACAGTTGGCCTGGATGCTGGAGAGAAACTTCCTAACCCTACCTCAAATAAAGCCATAGGATATTTTGTGTCTACCTGAGAGGGCAAATTGGACATCAGTTTAATGTCTCATCAGGTAAGACACCAGCAGTAAAGCATTCTCTCAGTTTTCTACCAAGTATTGACTGCTGCAAACACTAAGAACTATCTTCTAAGTATTGTTTGAATTATTGTCCACTGATTTTTATTGGGGGGTGGGCTTGGGGAGTGGGGAACAGCAGTGCACACCTGGCAGCACATAATGACTTCTATTTTTGACCAAATAGGAAGTTTCTTCTTTGATTGTATGCTCAATTACATCTGGTAAAACAAACAAGCATCTGGATTTTATCTTGTAGCTGAAACATGAAGTAAGTAATAAATATTGTTTTGTATGCTACTGATTATGCGAATTCCAGAAGCAAAAATTGATGTCTTTAGCCATGCAGAAAGTTTGATTAATCTCTTTGCAATGAAATTGATGGTGTATATTTATCATCAAATTTGAGCAGCCTTATTCCAGAAAATGATGACTCAACCCAAGTATGCTTTTAGTATCCAATGCATTGAGGGCTTTTGTAGCACAGTGGTCATGTCCATATCTTTGAGCCAGGAGGCCTAGGTTCAAGTCCCACCTGCTCCAGAAGTGTGTCATTATCATCTCTGAACACATTGAATGTAAAATACCTTTAATATCCAGTGATAGTGTAACAATGTAGAAATGGACAACCATAACCTATTGATTCAGTGATTACTCACATCTCGCTAAGCTTTGTTCTTTATATTTGCACATGAACAATTAATTGACACTTTGCAATATGAATTTACATGATTTTAATCAAAGTAGTGCTTAAATATTTCCTCTACATTGAAAAATGTGGAAACATTTATTGAACAAAGAACATACCTTTTAAACAAAAACAGAAATTGCTGGAAAATCTTAGCAGGTTTGAGCAGAACTTGTTCTGAAGAAAGGGCACTGGACCTGAAACGTTAACTCTGATTTCTCTTCACAGATGCTGCCAAACCTGCTGTGTTTTTCCAGCAATTTCTGTTTTTGTTTCTGATTTCCAGCATCTGCAGTTCTTTTGGTTTTATTTTAAACATACCTTTAAACACTTCTTCTGTTATGTGGGCATCAAGCTGCTACTTGCAGCTGGGTCACTTATGATCTTTGAAGCTTTTACTATAATTGCAAAGTAATTTCAAAAGTTAATCAATCACCCATGGATTACCAATGGGTCAAAGCCAAGAGTAAACTTCAGATGCAAAAGAGATTATAACATGTTAAACTTGCAGTTTCTCAAGACTGCACTCTCTATTGTGAATCGGCTTAGCTAAAAGGATTGTAAATGTTTCAGATAATATTCCTTTATTTTCTTTACACCCGATGCTGCTTTCCTTGACTGCACTTGTACCAGATTCACTCGTGGTCACATCAGTGGCAGCATAAACATTCCATACAGTTCTGCCTTTAGCCCGGATGGTGAGCTGATCCAGTGTGCCCCCACCAGCTTGTTGCAGAGTTTTAAGGGGCGCGTTGTTGTCATTGTGGGGAACATCGTCAGGCATGCAGCTGATGTAAGTTACTATCCTGCCGAAGCACCTCTGTCGCCGTGCCTGTGCTTTCGCTGCAGTTTCAAATCCTTGCTGAGGGAAAGGTTTACAAAACGAAATAGGCTTTGGAAAGGAAACAGACAGGTGATTACCTCAGTACAGAAGCTGAAACTGAGGCCTTCTAAGAGGTTTGGATTCTAATGGGATAATGACAAGAACATGTGCTTTAGGAGGCCCTACGTGAATGATTAATGAGCTTCCCACCCTCACCACCTCAGCATCCTGAATGGGACACCTGCGGCTTCCTGGAATCATTAACCCTTCAACTCCAAATAGGTTTTCCCAATGCACACATTCATACTTCCGTAAGGCAGCAGCAAAATATGCTTTTTGTTCATTTTAAATGTGTCATGCAATCGAATGAAAACTGCATGGAATCTCGAGCGCAGAAATTTAATTGTACTCTTGAAACTAACTTAAGAATCTCACTGTTACCATTAGTGAGCTCTAGAATACAACTTTGCTGCTGCATGTCATGTCAATGCTAACATTATCGTGTACACTTCGAGTCAGTACTCTATCTCAGACTCCGAGGCGATAAGCTGTTCTCATCTTGCACAAGGTCTATATGCAAGTCCCACAAGCTGCCTAGATTTGAGACTCAAAAGTCCGTCAGCAACTCCAAAGTAAATTCTCTGGATTGCACAGGAAAGTGGCTATGAAGTTGTAGTATTGGTGAATGTAGCAGGCTTAAATCTTTTTTTGGCTGTTGACTATAGAAGACTCGCATGTTCGGAGCCAGAAGCACAAACCTAGCGTTTTTTTCCCCTTTTTCCTGAGATGCAAGGGACAGTATTTGTTGTCCATCCCCAATTGTCCTTGAACAGAGAAGCTTGCTAGGCCATTTCAAAGAGCAAGTTAAGGGCAAATGACGTTGCTGTGGGTCTGTAGTCACATGTAGGTTACACCGCGGAAGGACAACAGATTTACCTCTCTAAAGAATATTAGTAAACCGTATTGGTTTATGACAATCAATAGTTTCGTAGGCACCACTAAGAAAACTAGCTTTCAACTCAGGACTTAGGAGCTGTTAAATTTGACCCCATGTCCCCAGAGTAAAAGCCTGTAGCCTGAGCCTCTGGATTATTTGTCTAGTGAGGTTACCGCTATAACCACCATCTTCCCACCTCATTTAATCCAATTAAATAAGCAAACAAAGTATGTAAGGTTTGCAAGGGACATAACTCCATGGCTAACATTTCAATACAGTACCTCAGGAGGTCTGCAAGATCAGAGGCACTGTCTAAACCAGAAACCAGTGTGCATGCAAAAATTCTGGAGCAGTACTTGAAGGAGAGCAGAATAGTTTTCATAGTTTAGGACAACATTGGTCCCTTGATCCAGCATTTACAAAAACATGTTAATTGCCCATTTTCTCTTATCCGCTTTTTCGGGGATCTTTCTGTGCCTTGACTACTGCATTTGGCTCCACGGCAGCAGTCACTGTGTAATTCCCTGGGGACCTAAGGCACTTTTAGTTAAATGATGGCAGAACAGAGTGTTTTATAATTGTTATTTCTGAACCTTCAAGTGGATTGTGTCAAGCGACACATTTAAAAAGCGCACAGAAAATACTTTTTAAATTCTATATGTGGTTAATTTAAAAGCTTAGATAGTACTGAGATTTCCTACCAATGCTCTCCAATCACTTGTACATTAACTGTGGGGAGAGGAGCACTCTGCATGTGTCCAACCTCTGGTTACTAAGACTGAAGCTTTGGAGTTCCAAACAGATGTGCCTGACTAGAAATTATGCCACTGCTTCCTGTCTCCGAACAACAACTGCAGCTACTGATGGACAATTGTCGTATTCAGATGAAAGCTAAATAATCCCATCTTTAAACAAAAACTTTTTTTTTTCAATAAATTACCAGTTGCTGAATAAATTTGGGAAGTTCAGTTTTGGGAGATGAGGTGAACTTTACCTTTTTAAACAACCTACTTATCCCGAGCTGAAATGGTGTTAGAAGATAATTGTGGATATCGGGCAGAATATTGTTGAGGTTTCAGGGTCTCGCCTGCCAGCAAGAGTTGCAGGTTGCCTCTGTCTGGGAGTGCCCACCAAGTCACAAGACAGTGAGGCAGCATCAAGAGCACTTTTCAGCCTTACCTTGGAATCAAGATAGTTGAGGGGGGTGGAGGTCTCACCTACTCAGAGCTGCTGGATAATTCGAGGCTGGCAGCTTAGCATTACCACTGTAGAGGCCATAACTGCTATTGGAAGAACAATCAAGGGGTCAGTAGTGAAGGCAGGGCAGAGTTGGGTTAAGGGATCAGTGTTGTCCTGGGCTAGGAGAACTATTCTGCCGTTCTTCAAGTGCTGCTACAGAGATTTTGCATCCACACAAATCACAGCCCTCCCGATGTCCAGTCCTTGAAGCAGGCATTGGAACAAGATGACTGGTCTCTTGGCAGTCACTCTCCTACCAAAGCTGGGATGGGACCCTTAATGGGTCATGAATTGGCCACTCAAGGGCCTGAATGGGTGGCAGAACAGGGAGGTTGGTGGATCTTCCTGTCCAGAAATTAATTCCAGCATAGTCAGGAAGGTGACAAGATTTAGGTACGCCAGTGTTCTGCCTAATTACGCGCCTGTCCCAACTAAGCTCACCAGGATTTGAGATCAAAAAATTCCCCACCCCCCTCAGCATTATTTATAGCATGGGATAAATTCACAGTCTTAACTACTTTAAGGAACGACTGAAGTATTAACTAAAATTTCATGCTGTAAAAGAACACTGTATAAAATTAGGATTAAACTATAATCTTGTTCTAAAATTCTTAAAATGCATTACTTTGAGTATCCCAAATTTAAAAAGGTTACTTGCAGATGTCTAATGGGTATTTTCAATGGTTTAGAATTAACAGTGTCAAAAGGCACTGCTTATTTTACAGTATAGCAATGAAGACTTATTAGTTTCCTAAATTGACCAAAGGCTAGTGAGATATTTCATACTCCTTCATTTCAGTATTGTACGTACAGTTGCATAGTTAAAGGTTCAAATAGTTTAACATTGTCCCAGTAACTTGCTGTTTTCTTTAGTACAGGGAACCTGGTCAGCACTGCATTCACCATCTGGTTAATATGTTGAGTGTATGCCTCCTAACTAAGGAGCTAATAAAGCACTAATAGCCATGACAAAATACTGATGACCTGAAGATCCAGATCTGCTGGTTGTCCCTCCACCATGAAATGCTAGCATATGTTAAACTTTGACCTAATGCTGCCTCCGGTGAATGTTTGCATCACTCAGTGTCAGAGTTGTGTAAAACACTATTGCTTGCATCAATTACTGACTGGGTCCGTTTTCTTTTGCTCGTTAGTCAAACAATTTGTGACACGTTTCTTCCCTAGCATCTGTCAGCAGTGTTACTAATAAAGGGAAGCCAGCGCTGCAAAATGGAGACAGCAGAATCGGCAAGTGGGCAGAGAACTGAAATCACAATTGCTAAAACTTGTGTAAACTATGCAGGTTTCCCAACAGTTGCACTGATTCATGCAAGTCAGTGGGTCAAAATCTCACAATGTCCGGCATTGATAGGCACTAGAACTGCTCCTTTCAACCTCTTAACCTCAAAGTTTCTTGTACGTTAATATGAATGTCTCTGCTGTGTAAAATATGCTCTATATTTATGTGTATGATCTTTATATATAGTCTATGTACATTTAAGTTTCACACAGAAACAAGTGCACTCTCTCACACGCTCCTACACGCTGACACACATGCATTAACGCACATGTTCTAAACCAATATTCTTGGGTAAAATGTTGCTTAACACTAATCTAACAATTGCAGCATCTGAATTATATATGTCAGAGCTGCAGAATGCAAAGCAAATGAACTTATCATCAAAGGATGAAATTATGAAGAGGGTTCTGATGAGGCAGCCCCTTGAGCACTGCCTTGTCTGGACCTGGTCACCAAGAAACTAAGGACGCACGCAATCATGAGGTGAGGGAGAAAGTGCAAAGAAGAAAAGTTCAGATAGGCTTCTTAGTGTGGAATGGGACCATTTCGGTGATAATCTTAAATAGGGCTTTTTGTAAGATAACGGTATGGAAAAGTTAACGAGGAAGAATATTGCATTAGCTGAAGCAATTCAATGGGGTACAGGTTCTAATCAAAGAAGTTACCAAAGGACTGACATCAGGTAGTTCTCCTTTACACAAAGGAGGATTATCATTTGGAATGGACCCTGTGGAGTGGCAAAGCCAAAAACTGTCAGATTATTTAATAATTAGATGGGAGGTAGGGGAAGGTGTGTGGATGGACCGTATTTATTGTGTGCTAAATTCAATGAGGTAGGAAATGCAAATAGGTTAAGAAACACGGTCTTAACCCTCTCCCAGCTGGGATGGGTTTTATTGTGAACTGTTGTTGAAAACTGTTTTACCGTTTGTGTTTCAATCTAGCAATGAAACAGCCGACACTGCCTGACCTGTCCTGTCAGTAGCCCCAGATGTTGTTTCCTTTTAAGTATATAAATAGAACAGAAGAACATAAGAACTAGGAGCAGGAGCAGGAGTAGGCCGTCTGGCCCTTCGAGCCTGCTCCGCCATTCAATAAGATCATGGCTGATCCTTTCGTGGACTCAGATCCACTTACCCGTGTTCTCACCGTATCCCTTAATTCCTTTATTGTTCAAAAAAAATCTACCTTTTTTTTAAAAACATTTACTGAAGTAGCGTCAACTACTTCACTGGGCAAGGAATTCCATAGATTAACAACCCTCTGGGTGAAGAAATTCCTTCTCAGTTCAGTCCTAAATCTGCTCCCTCTAATCTTGAGGCTATGCCCTCTTGTCCTAGCTTCAAATACATTAGTTGAATACATCAAAGTGTAAATTATTTGAGATTGTTACCAAAGACTTTGTCAGTAACAACTTAATCAACTCCAGCAATGTGGAGAGAGAAAATATAAAGACCTCCTGCTTAACTGAAACTTCAGGAGGATAGGAATCTC